AAAATATGGTGACGTGAAAATAAATTGACTAGATATGTTTTAAAATAGTAGGTGAAGAGGAAAAAACTTTCTTTTATATTTGGCTTAAATAGAATTTAGAAGACGGATGCCAAATTAATTATATATTAGCAAAGGAATTAACAAAGTTAGATACATATATGCAAAATTAACTTCGTGAGAGCTAGCTCATAGCTTTGTTGTGCATATTTTTAAAACTTAGAGACTAATGTTAGGGATGGATCAAACTAAAAAGAATAAAATAAAATTATAGAGACTAAAAACAAAATACAAACAAAGTATAAGGACCAATTTATATTTTCTCTTAATTAAACTAAAAGAAGGAAATAGCTCGGATCAAAGTAGTAGAAATTTTAATTTATGCGTGATTTTCTCTCTTCTCTGTAAACCGTACATGATATATATTAAATTAATTTACTTACGTTTTACGTTTACAAGCTAATATTTTATATAAATTCGATTGTTTAATATTCTATGGATTACTTGTCAAAAGCTATTATTTCCACCTATCACCTTCATCCACCTTCCATGTGATCGATCCACACTGCTAGGCTTGTGAGGACAAGTAGTTTGTTGATCTTTATAGACATGTTATATATATATATATATATATATATATGATGCCTGTAAGTTCCATTTGCTTGAAATTTCAACAATCTAAATGAATGGTTGAGTTAGAGTATAAAGAAATTAATGATCAAACGCAAAGGCAAAAGTCATGTATTTCCTTATAAATTATAATATTAATTTGGTAGTCAAGAAACTTAAATTCAAATTGATAAACTTAATTTACAACAGTGGTTGTGAATTTTAAAACTTGATGATCTTACACTTTGAAATGAATATATTTCTTAGAAAGCGAGAAATTCTAATTGCCCATCTCCAAAAAAATTACGGAAATTCCATAAATTGCAATACATTTGGTTGAGGATGATGCCAAAGAGGCAATCAAATCTGATCTCATGGGAGTTTGAATTCTCCTAATTTTTAGACACTGTTTATTGCGATCAAAATATCGTTTATAAATATGCTCTTAAAATTCAAAATATTTTTCCTTGGCCGCCATAAAATTATAATTCTAAATATAAAAAATATTGATGTTACAGAATTCCTTAAATATTGAATTCTGAGAAGACAACTCTTTCAACCTTGAGATTTGGACAAATAAAGTTCTTTAAAGGTTTAAATTTCTTATAAATATCTTTTATTGATTCGTTATTTCTTTTGTTGTGTTGACCAAAAACTTAGGTTTTTGAAATAATTACTTTAAATTTATTTTTTTTGGGTGAGACAGGAGTATCTTAACTACTCTAAATTTTATCATATAGAGCACCCTTAATTAATGACAATAAAATCATCTGTATTTAAAAATTAATTCTCAATCCATGAAAATTAACAAATGTATGTTTAATACTTCATTTGTTTTCTCACAATCTAACAAAGAATGAACCATAGTTTGTCAAACCACGTTCCTCTCCATCAGGCTATTATCTGATCAGTCAAAGCAAAACATCATGACCTTCTTTTGGCTACACCTTTAATTTCTTCCAGAACAAACAAACGTGGGCACTCAATTTACAAAATTTATAGTATACACACCTACCCCTTATCTTCACCTACTTCTTTGACATGCCTCATTCTCTATTTTAAACACCTTCCTTCTAAAATTATAAGATGCTTTGAAAGAGATTTAACATTTTTAAAATATAACACTTTAATAATATTATAGTTCATTAAATAAGTTTATTTTAATATTATCTTTATTCTTTATATTTAATTTCCATCCCTCTCTTTTTAATATATTAAATGAAGGGTATTTTTGGATAGTTATTTTAAAAAAAATAAAATTATTGAGTGTATTTAATGAGTTTATTCATATGTGAGATTTTCCAAAGGGTGGTTCCAAATACTTCTACATTAGTTCTTGAAAGACTTTTGAGATACATAATTGAATCCTTGAAAAAATATAGTCATACACTTAAAAAAAAACCTACATATCTTTATATAGAGAGAGAGTTATATACTCTGTCTAATATTAATTATAAGGAAAAGTTAATTAGCTTCATAATTTTAAAGAAATGCTTGTTAATATCTTTAAACTTGTAAAAAATATTTGAATTTTTGAATTTTGCCCATCATTGAAATTAAGGACTAACATAAAATATGCCAAGAATTTGAAAATTTTGTCAACAATTTGATGCAATTAAAGAGAGGCAATATTTAAAAAAAATATTAACTATTATATTTTTGCCCTACATTTAGGACTAAATAGAGCTTTCAAACTTTACATTATAATTAGGACTTGAGGGATAGTAAATATTCAGTTCTACTAGGTTAGATTTAAATATTGTCAAAGTCCGTAATTTTCCAAACATGATTTCTGAAAATTAATAATTAATACATTCATGAATTTGGAGAAATATCAATTAGAAAAATGTGAATTCGTTACGTGCACGGTTAATCAAATTTAACCATTACAACACCATCTCTCTCTCTCTCTCTCTCTCTCTCTCTCTCTCTCTCTATATATATATATATATATAATATAATGTGTCATATAAAAAATTCAAGAATATTGGAGATAAAAGTGGGCTGAAAATAGTAGAGAAGTTTATAGTTAATTATTTTTTATTGAAAGATTTTTAATATGTGTGTGTGTGTGTTTATTATATCGCTCTCACACTTTTACTATTAAAAAGATGAATAAACTTTCGCTCCTGTTATGTTGTGATTTTTGAGGGAATATAGAAAACAAAAACAAGATTTCCTAAAGCTGGATATTATATATTACCCTCTTTATAAATATAAGAGAAACTACCTAATGTTTTCTTGTTTTTAATTATAAGTAAAACTATAAATTTTAAGAAGCATTAGTCACAATTTTGTCAAATTGTCCCTTATATATAAATGGATACTATCATTAAATTTGGGAGAAAAAGTACATATTAATTACAAGGGCATTTTAATCTAAATATTTCAATTTCAGATATAATTATTATGATTAATTAATTTCTTAAACTATGTGAGTATGTTGAAATTTTCCTATATTCAAAAATGAAGAGAATATAATTCCTTTTGGTCCTATTTATAGAGTATAGAGAATTTTTTTTTGTTCTATTTATAAATTACCTCATTAAATTTTTATTATAAATTTTTTTATTTAATAAAAAAATATTATTAAAATATGTATATTTAATAGAGTTAAAATTAAAAAATTATTAAATTTTTATAGAATTAATAAGTTTTAAGTTTTTTGTTAGTTCTGATAAAATATATTAAAAGTGTTTTATAAAAGGAGCATTTGTGTAATATTTCGCCTAACTCACTGCAATAAATAAATCAAAGCTCCAATGACACCTTATCGTCAAGATTTGAATTTATGGAACGAAACAAGGCGACAAGGTTGAATTAATTGAATGCATAAATTTACTGGCAAGGGTCAGGTGAGTCGCTTTCTAACAGGGCGGTGAAACTTGATGGCGCACCTGTGTCGTTTTGAAAAATAGTATGACAAATTAAAAAACGACACATGTTTTGGGCAAAGTTAATCACATGAATAATTAATAATTAATAATTAATAATTAATAATTAATAATTACATTTGATAGCACAAAGTTAATTAATTTGTCATGACATTTGGCTATGGGGTCCAGGCCAATATAATATGGCCAATAAATTTGTAGTCTTAATTTGACTCATAAGTGGTGGCCAAAACAAACAAAAAAACTAATCAGGAAAATCTTTCCTTTTTAAATGATCCAATTGTATCTTATTTCCGTGAGATCAGATTGAGAGATGACATTTTAAGCCAGACCGTTTTTCTATAGTCAAAAAGGACTGCGCTGCCCTCCACATAGAATATTTTTTAAAAAAATTATATTGGTGGGGTCCATGTAAAATCATTAAATTTTTAAATTTGGATCCAAATCCTTTATGTTGTTAAATTTTGTGACCATAAATCAAATTGTTTTAAAATAATTAATTATCTGATTATAAAACTCTAAATATGTGATACTCCTGTACTTAATATAAGATGGGTTAACAAGCTTCGTGCTTATTAAAAAATATTATATTTTTACTGTTTAAAAATTTAAATAATAATAAATAAACAATGGGTAAATTTTAAAAAAATATTAATTATTTTAACTTCATTTTATATTTCGAATAAAAAAAAAATCTTCCAAACTTTACCTTATATTAACAATCAGATGAAGTATAACGTATGACAACTTATAAAATTATAGATAATTAAATAATATAAACTGGGACATATATAATAAGATAGTAATAAAAAGGACATGATCAGTACTTACTTAAAATGTATTTAAACTGGAATGACGCGCTCGCATTCTGTGCACGGAGTGCTCATCAGAACAATTTTGATCCTCCATCTTAGCTTAAAGTGATTTATGTCGTTCATTTAAATTAATTTTTAAATATTTTTAATATTATATTTATTAAAATAAAAATATAAAAAATTTTAATATTAAATTTAAACTATTTAAAATATATTTAAATATTTAATTTATAAAATTTATAAATTTTTTAATGTTAAATTAAATCATTATATTTGAACTATCCAGAATTTATTTGGATAATCAAATTATAAAATTATAAAATTTTTTAATATTAATTTAAATTATCTACATTAAATCTCTTTTGATCAAATTGATAATGAACAGATTTATTAAAATTTATTATATTTTTTATAAATTTTTTTTAAAAAATATAATATTAAAAATATTTAAAAATTAATTTAAATAAACGGTAGAGATTATTTTAGATTGAAATGGACTACTTAGATTGCTCCTAACTGGATGCACCGAATGCGGACGCCTGGAATGACCTTACAAATTCTTAAACTACTAAGATTTAAATGAAGAATGAGAAAAATCAATATGGATTAAACATATAATTTTTTATTCTTTTATTCACCAAGCCGTTCTATAAAAGGTGCCATGAGGCCATGCTTCCTTCATATCAGCAACACATCAAACTACATACACACTTACTTTCCTCTTTACTATAGGCCTCGAGCTGAGACATGTCTACTCCAGTAATCCCTGAGCTCATTCTTCAATCCTCTTCCGGCCAACGGAGGATGCCGGTGATAGGTCTCGGCACCGCGCCAGAGGCTGCGAGCAAAGTAAGCACAAAAGACGCAGTGGTTGAGGCCATCAAGCAAGGATACCGGCATTTTGATGCAGCTGCAGCATATGGGGTTGAACAATCAGTTGGTGAAGCCATAAAAGAAGCACTTCAACTTGGACTTATCAAGTCCAGAGATGAACTCTTCATAACTTCCAAACTCTGGGTCACTGACAATCATCCTCACCTTATTGTTCCTGCTCTCAGAAAATCACTTAGGTAAGTACGTACACAACTCTTTGATGTTGCTGCTTCTTCTTGTTGTTGTTGTTGTGTGTGTGTGTGTGTGTTTATATATTATTCATTAAGATTTATTTTGCTAAGATTCAGGATATATTTTGTATTCATTAATTTTTATTAGCATATTATTAAGATGATATATATATTGTAAGCTTTTCATATTAATATAAGTACCATACTTTTTCAAGTCTCGTTTCTTTCTCTCCTGATTTCTTTCGTGATCATCATACAAATATTGTTGTTTGTTCTACACTTTGCCTTCTCTTTTGGCTTAGCATAAACCGGTTACTCGCATGTTATGCAGCACGCTTCAACTAGAATACTTGGACCTGTTTCTGATCCACTGGCCCGTAAGTGCGAAACCAGGGAAGGTTACATATCCCATTGAACAATCAGAACTGGTGCCGTTTGACATGAAGGGTGTGTGGGCAGCCATGGAAGAATGCCAGAAACTTGGCTTAACCAAAGCTATTGGGGTCAGTAACTTCTCTTGCAAGAAGCTTCAGAACTTGCTCTCTTTTGCTACCATCCCTCCAGCAGTCAATCAGGTAATAATAAATTAATCTCTTTGTTGGTCACTAACAAGGCTACTTTAATTCACATGTCTTCAAGTTTAACTAGCTTGTTACAAGAGTTTAATTTGATGGTAATATATAGGTGGAGATGAACCTTGCTTGGCAACAAAAGAAGCTCAGAGACTTGTGTAAGGCAAATGGAATTGCCTTAACTGCATTCTCTCCATTGAGGAAAGGAGTGAGTAGGGGAGCTAACATAGTTCTTGACAACGACGTCGTCAAAGAGATTGCAGATGCTCACGGCAAGACTATTGCTCAGGTTAATTACGATGAATCCTTTCCAACTATATAATCTGCACAATTTAAGAGAAAAGTAAACACAATAAAGATCAGTTAGAAGCACTACTACGTTTATCTCTCTAAGTGCATGGGTTAGCTTCAATATGGTCGGAGACTACCCTAATTTATTAAAATGATTAATAACAAATATAAATAAACATGTTCTTATATTTATATATTTTCTGCTTTACAGGTTTGTCTTAGATGGATATACGAGCAAGGAGTGAGCTTTGTGGTTAAGAGCTATGACAAAGAGAGGATGAAGCAAAACTTGCAGATCTTCGATTGGTCACTGACAGAAGATGATTACAGGAAAATCAGTGAAATCACTCAAGAAAGACTCATCAAAGGACCAACCAAGCCTCTTCTTGATGATCTTTGGGATGATGAGCAGTAACTAGCTAGGATGGATGATTTATATGTTATAATAATAGTATACTTTAAATTGTGAACAGACTTTATGTGCCGTATAGTTTGTGGTGGTAAAATGGTCTACAATTAATAATTTTGGCAGTGCCACTGCTCCGGTTATAGGTTTCTTGTTGATGTCAAAGAAATAATGTAATATTCTACATGCGTTAAATAAAGCTTGAGTTCATATATAAATATGCATGTTTTGGTTGAAAAAGTTGGCAAATGTACTTAATATTTTTTTTGGTGACCACTGGGAGTACACTCCACTGATAATAAGAAGAAGAAAAATGGTAGAAATCTTTTAATTAAGTTGCTACCTAGTCAAGAGTTAAGATTTGAATCCACAATTGCTTGAGTGTTTTAAAAGCCAAATTAGACTGCAAATCAAAAAGGCTCACAGTTTATGATTTTTATGGTTTAATAGGTTAAATGAATGACATAATAATTAAATAAAAATAATATTATATATATATATAACAATAAAATAAACATGAAATTGTTAACAAATGCGCATAAAGGAATTAGCACCTGTCATGTGAATTATTAAAAAAATATACAGGTTGAGTATTTATAATTTTTGGTTCAGGTTTAGCTCACTTAACTTTGTCATTTAATTTGGAAATTTGGATTCATTTTTTCATAAAAGCATCAGGCTGGTCCAACTGGCTGGTAATATCTTACTTTTATCATACAGAGATTTAAGTATGCTCTATATTTACCTCTATGAAAAATCTGTGCATAAGAAAGAACTTGATCACGATCCACAAGTGTGAACCATGTTAATACATTTAGAGATCTATGGTTTTTTAATCAAGGGATTAAGAATCTTAAAGTAGCTGTATTTGTCAAATTTTCCTAATTTACCACAATTACTTAACCAAAGTATTGAAAATTGAATTAGTTATTGAACTAATCAAGATAATAGTTCAAGGGTTAGTTATTTAATTGGAGGTCAGGTTGGGATCAAACCTATCATAGATAAACTAATAAAATATAATTAAAATATATAAAAATATAATTTAAATAAAAATATTAATCCTCAAAGTATTAATAAAATAAATGAAAAATCTAAATAATTAAAAGATAAGAAGAATATGATTGAAAATAAAAAGATATTTTAATTACTGAAATATATTTATAGAGTTAAAGAGAAGGGGAAATCGTGTGTTAATAATATTGTAAATGCTAATTTTTAAAATATTTTAATTAGTAGATATTATTATTATATTAAAATTGAACAATAAAAAAATGTAACTCCCAAGAAAAGTGATTATGCGTGCATCAGTTGCTAATTTGGTCTGAGAGGTCAGCCACAGCTAAGGGTTGTAGGACACAGCTATCAATGCTATGTTTTCGAAAAAGCAAGGGGAGAGAAACTTGAAGCAATGCTCGCCATGTCTTTTCTCTGCTTCACACTTCCTATCGCTTCTCTTCTTCTTTCCTCTTTAGATTTCATCCACAAAAAGAAACGAGAAGGAAAGAACAACACCAAAGGGTAGATGGCGAAACAGCACAGTAGCTCGATGATAAAGAAGAAGCTTGATGGAGAAACAGACTTCAACTTCAGCAACGTCGATGGACAGAAGAAATGGAAACTCAAGATCAACAGCTAGAAGAGATGGAAACTTAAGGTCGACGGATGACAGTGAGGTTAAAGGCAAGGATGACACTGAGGCTAAGGATCTATCGACATTTTAGATTCAAACATTCAGGCTTTGGCTTCATCTTTTTTTTTTTTTTTTTTACAAAAAAAAAAACTCAAAGCTACATTGTTTTAGGGGTGTTCTGGCAAAAAAAATATATATATATATATATATATATGACCCGATCAACCCAACAAACTGTCGGGTTAGCTAGGCTACCCTGAATTAGTTGGGTTAATCTAGGTCACTGTAAACCTAGGTTAACTAGAAACCCAGACGCGCTGAGAGGCTTGTTTATCGATTGGACCGGTTGGTCCAATCTAGGTTTTCATTTCATGTACTTAACTACAAAATCATTGATTACCATGGTAATTAAAAATTAATCATTTAAGTCACGGTACCATGGTAAAAAGAAACCAACAGTAGTTGGATAAGACTAACTATAATAAAAAAAAAAGACCTGCATTTAAAGGTCTACCATAATTATTTTGATTAAATATAAACTATTTAATAAAATAATACAAATTTATAATTTGTTAGGATCCTAACTCCACAACTCAAGCCAATGCATAACAAAAATAGTAAAATCATAAATCATATTTGAAAGTATGGGATAGCAGTGAGTTTGAAAAATTTAAAAATCATCTAAAAAAAATAATAAAAATGACATTTTATAATCATAAGAGTGTTTGCCGCAGCTTACACATATCCCACCATGCTATAACTTCTCCTATATTATGTGCAAAGATGCAAGTGCCTTATATGGCAATACATTACACAAGCATTAGGATAGTATTTTGTTGTCACATGAACAACTTCAGTGAACATCCATCACATCTTGGTCCAAACATCTAAATGAAGGGTCTCTAAGTAATTCTAAAGAACTCAAATAACAAACGACATATTGGCATTGATTGGTTCTACTTTTAAACTACAACAATTCACAGCATTAGACACTCAATCACTCAATTATACCACTCACATTTGAACCACTAGGGTGTCCACACCAACCAAATGCCAATAACATAAACCACAACTTAGAACAAGCCCCAAAGGACAAAGGACAACCTTTAATAGTGCATTACAATAATACATCCAACACAGTTCACATTTCCAATTCTTGAACCCTTAATAATAAAAAATCAGAGGGGGAGATGTCTAATATTATAATTCCAAAAACAAATCGATGCAACTAACGAAATAATCCTCAACATACTTGCATCAATATTTAGACCTTCAATAGACAATCATAGCTCAACAACATAGTTTAGGGCACTAAGTACAACCAATCAACAATAGCAATATGCAATTATGCAAGTAATCAAAATAATATTGCTAGTTGGCAATGTCACTATCAAATTACACATGATAACAAAAGAGAGGCATACAATAGGAATATAAAGTTCCTAAGCCTTAGGAGTCTTTCCCTTGCTTTGATAGGAGCTAGTGCTTGTAAAATGTTAATATAAGGGTGAGTACAACTACTCAATAATCATGGAAATCTCTAAATCACCCACATGCAAGTTAAATCAATAAAGGCGGGCAAAGTTGGCAAATTATAGAACCATATGAAAGCATAACGTACAATATCATACTCATAGTATCAAGTTTTGTGATATAATCAAATGCATGATCATCAACTCTTTATCTCCTCCATATATTGTCGACTGAATTCATGGGCTAACAATTAAATAGGATTGAGTCAATGTGATTGGACTCGTACAAGCTCTCCAATCATGAAGAGACACCTAGCCAAAGACGCCTTGCTCAATCTTAGACTATAGATTCCCCTAGTTCTCAAGTCCACTAGGGTATCGCAATGCCCAGCACCACACCTAGTGAGGGTGATATAAAAGGGGCAATGGGTCTAAGCACCTATGCTTACACTTAGTCTAGGGTGAGTTTCAGGGAGACCTGACCCATGAAACCAAACACTAAGGCCACCCATGGTGTTGATTATATAGTTCCACATGGAAATATAATCTACTCCTCCTAGGGTATCTCTTGCCTGACTCATTATCATGCAACCATGCACCAAACAATTACCAAACGTGTCCACAGCTCATAGCATAATGCAATAACCAAACATGTGCATAATAATGTAATTAACCGTCACAAACATGCATATAATATTTTTCCACTTATATTAAAATTAATCAACAATATATGACATTTTCAGCATCATAACTAAAATGATAAATCATGCAACCCACTTATATATATATATATATATATAAATAATATATGAATATATATTTGTATAAAATCACATTAATCATGTTTGCACCATAGCCTAAATCAATCTAATAGGAAATAGCATAAGTTAGAGATTCCCTAGTTATCTCTAAGCTTTAAGGAATCAAAAAGGTTACCCTAATATAACTTGCTTTCCTAAGCTAAACTCAAGTTCAAACAACACGCTACAAGATTAATCTACAATCCATAACAACAAATATGACTAAATAACTAACAAACATAACACTTCCAATTTCGATTCAATACCATTAGCCATCTACATTTCGGGCTATAGAATATTTGAGGTTTTTCAACTTTGCTAATTGTTTTCGTCATACCCTTATGCTATTTGTAGCTTCATGTGGTATCTATTGCTAGCACACTCTTGTTATCTCAATTGTTATGGCAACAATAATATCTGTACTCTTACCCTTTAGTCAGAGCATGATAGGTCCGATATACAAATTGAATTGAATGCAGAACATCATCATGACAAAGATATTGTTTCAAACATGAGAAAGTCACCCAAGGTTAAGTACATAACCTTTTATGAAGATTCTAAATGTATTCTTGGAAAGAGGACAACAGTTTGGGAGTTTGGTGAAGATGCATGACTTGTCCTATTTGAATTAGCACTCTACAACCAAGTAGGAATGATGTTAGATTTACTTATTTGTACCATATATTGGAAATGTTTTAAAATTCTTAGATTGTACTCTACATTATAATCATGCATATTGAAATATTGAAAATTAGTTGTTTGAACTTTTGTACATAGTGGAATAGTTTGTATCCTTACATTAATTATATAAATAATTTTTTTGTATATTGGTCATGATATACAATGCACAACAAAAAAATAACAGATTAGCGACAAAATTTAGTGATGGAATAAATTTCTGTCACTAATTTGTCGCTAAATTAGCGACAGAAGTTTTTGTCGTTAAAATTTTATCATTATTTCATTGTTAATCTGTCGAAAATAATTTACCGATGGAAAATTTCATTGCTAATGGTTAGGATATCTTATTTTAATTTAGTGACAAAATTTGCGATGAAAAATTCCGTCACAAAGCTCTCTATCATAAATCCGTCACTAATTCCATCGCTATTTATTTTTAGCTTAATTTTATTATTTATAATATATATTTATATATAATTTATTATTATACTATAAATAAATAATTTAAAAAATATATTTATTTTTTAATTAATTTATTATCAAAAATAATTTTTTTGAATAAAATATAATATAAATAATTATTATATATAAATTAATTTTTCCATATTAATAAATAAATATAATTTTAAAAAAATAAGTAAATTTAAATACTAT